TTTCATTGCATCTTGTTACTCTAAAATCCTATGTAAAAATAGACAAATAAAGTCCTGTGTCACCCTGGTTCTTTTAAAAATAAGGATAACGGCTGCAGATGCAACTCAGTGGTACAGCACTTGCCCAGCATGTGTAAGGACACAGCTTCAATATCCAGCACCACAAATAAAAATAAAGATGTACGAAAGGGGAAAACGCACTCAGCCTCCAAACACTTCAGCATAAAATACACAGAGCTTATACGTTATGTCCCATGTGTGAATATTTTATTTCAGAAATTGTATCATTTCAGCTACTTCAGCTATTAAGCTTTTTTTTTTTTTTTTTTTTTTTTGTCATGTGAGGAAGTCTAACTGAAAGGTATCTTTTGGGACCTCTATAAGGAATTCCACTGCATGGGTGTGTCTTAATTTGTGTTTGTTTGTTTTCATATTCTTTTGTGCTAGGATCTGGTGCTGTGGTGATTAGGCTGACCCTGAACTCTCAAGCTCAAAGCAATCTTCCTGCCTCAGTTTCTTGAGTAGCTGGGACTACAGGTGTGTGCCAAAGCATCCGGCTTAATTGGCATTTGTTCAATAAAACTTTTACCTGGACCAGGTTTACAAAATCACTGGCTTCACCTCTGGACATTTGCCTGGTGGAGGCTGCTAGACTGGCTCAGACAGACTACTCTAGACCCCAACAAACTGAATATCCTGCTTCACCAGATTTTTTTTTTTTTTTGCCTTTTTCTTTTTTGATTGTTTATGCAGACAGATGTACATCTTGGCACACATGAAGTATGTATCTTTGTTGGTAGGGGGGTTGTGGCCAAAGAAGTTTGACCACCACTACTGTATCCCAGAAATTTAAAGGGTCATGGCTTAAGCAGTTTTAAAAAATAGCTCTGAAGTACTAGAGTTATGGTTAGGAAATTTGTATACTTCCCATGAACAGACGTCAAAATATCTGCTTAAGAGTTTCACAATGGTTTCCACAGTGGAGAATTTCAAAATGTACATCTTTCTGTTGCTGGCAAATCAAGGGGGTAGCCACAGAGACCTCCGCCTAGGAGGGATCACACAGATGACTCTTTTCTTATCCTCTCTGACTCCCTTTCCATCCTTCCCTCCTCCCACCACCAACTAAAACTGGGGGATGGTCAGGAAGGCAGGGCCCAGCCGAGGACCAGGCCGAGGGGCAGGGCTTGGGGGGCAGGGAAGTATCACTTCCTTGCACCTCCTCCCTTGGGCCTCCTCCCTGGGGCTACAGTTCTGCTCTCTCGGTGACATAGCTTTCCCATGGAAAGCAGAAGTGGTCCTCTCCACAGGGCCTCGAGCAGCCCAATTTCTCCACTCACCTCACCCCGTGGGGGTTAAGATTTACAGGAAGAGGGAGGCACCCACAGGCCCAAACACCAGGAGGCTGGTGCAGCTTTAGGTACAGGGAGGGTGCAGACGCCTTACAGACTCTCACTGGACCAAAAGAGGACCCAGAAAAGTCAGGACAGCTCCCGCTGTGTGTTACTTGGAGAGGGGAAGCAGAGAACCAGAGAGAGATGCTCACAAGGAGCTCCCACCAGCTAAGGTTTGTTGTCAGCGAAGGATGGCGGGAAGAACTGTGGTTCAACACAGAGGGGGACACACAGCCTGAGCACTGTTTGGCTTGTCTGAAGCATGAAGTGTAAAAAAGGAAACGAGACCAACGCAAAGACCCTCTGTGCCGCACACCTGTGAACACTTCTTTCCTTCGTTCCATATCTCAACAACAACCGAGTCTGGACCATTAGCAAACTGCCACTCAAAGTCACTGTGTGCTTTTCTCTCCATGTGCGTAGCTCTACAGGACATCCTTTGGGGATCTCAGTATGTGGACAATGCAAGATTTACAAGCATGAGACTCATGAGTATTCTTTACCCACAGCTGGCCAGCTCACACCACGTCCGTTCCTGGTTCCCGCAGTATTTGAAAGATGGGAGGAAAAGAGCTAAGAGGGGAATAGAGAAGAGGAATTGGAAATACGGAAGAGTAACAAAGCACAGAGAAATAAACATCATGAAACTACATCCTGATTACAAATGCAATTTCTGAGAAATGGCTTGGTGGAAAATAGGGAATGTTGGTGGCTTACTCTGTGAGAAGAAAAAATGCAGTCCTGAACCAAAGTGAAGAAGAAACCCAAGAATGAAGGATAAAAAGATATTATAGGCCTCTGTACTTGCTGTCATGGATAAATCTTAATCTAATTATTCAAACTTGCTAGTGTAAATTAGAAGAGAGTTTTTCCACCTCATTTAAGCCAAAAACAAGAAAAGACCGAGGTCTTTGAACTGGCCTGCTACAAAATTTCTAATCCCTCATTAGTAGATTCCTGTACCATTTTCTATACTTGGGTGTCTCCCCCAAAGTGAGAACTTACTCAAAATAAATTTTAGAAATGATGATAGAGTTCACTCAAGGTTTCACAATTTAAGTGTCAGGAAACTGTGCAGCTGTAAGAAGCATTTCAGTTTTTCTGAGTGAAAAAAAGAAACTTCCTCTTCTACATCCTTCTCTTCACTAAACTGCAGAGTGGAGAGGCCATGAATGTGTATTATAGAAATGCTGGCTTGGGAGAGAACTCTATACCCAGCTCAGTCAGAAAATGAAACACTGTATTACTATGTGTCCTATGGCCCATCTCCTAGCTTTAAGTTTTTACCTCAAATGATGCTCTAATTCTGAAAACAATCACCAGGGCAAGGGGGTGGTCTCAGGGAGGAACTTCCAGCCTAGGGCAGCAGGAGTTCTTCTGCCAAATACATCTTGAGTCCTTTTATATTAACCGATAAGCACTTAAACAGTACTGACCAAGGCAGTCTCTACAGCTGACCGAATGGCAGTCATCTAGGTACCTTAGCATTTACCAGCAACCTCTCTCCCTACTCCAGACAGGAATCAATGCTGAAAAACACAGACACTCATTTCTAGAAGATAGAACTCAGCCTGACAGCATTTGCTTTTATGTTCTGAGCAGTTAATTCAAGTACCAAGTGATACGAGAGAATCGTATGGTTCTGTTTCATTCCTAAAGCGTGTATTAAATAATAAATTTGCCTCTTTGTTTTTAAGTAACTGAGTATCAACTATAGGTCCAAAAGTAGAAAATAGGAACAGCCAGAAAGTACACCTACTGTCCCAATTGGTATCAATTAAGCTGTGACTTGGAGAAGCTTGAATCTCCCCATGTATCTCTGCCTATCAGGAGCCATCATAAGCTGAAATGAAGTCAAAGACCACATTATCAAAAAATACCTAGGGAAAATCTGATGTGTCAGTGAATAAAGTCCTTCTAAGGTTCCTCACAGTGACCCTTGAATGTTAACTCCAAACGATGTGTCACAGGCATTGCAGGTGCCAGGGAGCTGTAACCGCACCCCACTCTATGGGCCTGTACACATCATGTCTTTATTTATAAATCAGTTTGCCTCTGTGTATGGTCATACTTTTTCATTTTGCTAAATTACAACTCTGCATAATGACGAAAACCAACTGGATTTTTAGATGTTTTGTGATTTATTCCTAAATACAGGTGAAACTCAAAAGCTCTGAAGGTCATTGATTCATAAAACTGCTGAATCACTTTTTTGCTAAAAATAAGTTACTACAAGTAGGAAAGGGATTGTAGGAAGTCCTCGCATGCCTCTGCAGTATTAAAGATGCCACGATGAAGGAGGGTGGCCACCTTAGCAGGAGACCTTAATGCTCCTGAGTAAGATCTCTCTCCCAGCAACACAGAGCCAGCACAAGTCCAGAGCAGAGATTCCACTGAACAGCAGAGGTGGTCAACGTTGCCCCCGCAATTCCCATTACAGGGACCAGGACAGAGAGGGCCAGAAAGCTCCGAATGCTTCAGGAATCTGCCCAGTTGCTTCATCTTAGAAGTCCTTGGCAGGCAGGCCTTTCTCCCTTATTTCAGGTCATCTCCAACAAACTCCAAGTTCTACCAGGCACTCGCTATCATTTTGGACAGAACAGATAAGGCCAGTGCCATGGCGCTTCTCTCCTAAGAGGTGAATGCAGTCTGCACACCGGTGGATACAACACAGTTTGCCTCCTGCTCTGAGCCCAGTGAAATCCTGGCTCAGTCAGTGGTCCTAGTGACTTGGCCCAAATCACAAGAGCAAAGAAACCAACCCAGGTTTCCTGGCCACTTAACCTCTATGGCTTCATTCAGAAGAGTCACCTCATCTACAGCCAAGGTGGCCTGGTTACCAGGAGCTCTAGTGTTCCCCTTAAATTCCTTTGAGAGGGAAAACGTTTTCCCCCCCTTACCTCCAAACCAGAACCTAGAAACAGACTGAGCCCTACCTAGCGTGGACCCCACCCTCTCCCAGCTGGGTAACTTAGAAAGGACTCCAGAGAAAGCACCCTACAGCCACTCCGAAGCAGGCAACGCAGCAGGGGTCCCACATCATTAGCTCACTGTCTCCGAGGGGCACTGGGCGGCTAGGTCTGCTAAGGGACAGCAAAATCCCCCACATAATTTCTAAGCAGATTTACCAGTAAGGCCAGATGTTAAATCAAGCATGTAGTTTTAGGTTTAAGTCATCCACACAGGAGAACCAAGAAGTCTTGTTAGCATAGACAAAATGCACTGCAGTGAACAACAATAACGGCAGTGTTTACAGGATGCCCAGGGTGTCCCCGGGCTCCTGGCAGCCTAAGCTCTCTCCAAGGTGTGGAGACCCAGGCAGGATTTCACACGGCTGAGAGACCGTGAGGCCTAGGTTCCAACCTGGGTTTCAGGGTGGCGAGAAGTTAAGATGGATTTGGGCGAGCGCGCGCGCGCGCGCACACACACACACACACACACACTCACACTCACACGAAACGCAGACACAGGCACAAGTCCGGGGGGCAGTGGGGAGGCTACAAAGAGCAGCCCCATTGCAGAGAGCTCGGAGAAGCGCGCAGACGGCTCGGGAAAGTGGGAACTTGCACCCTTCCCCCACGCGAAGGAAAGGCAACCTCTGAATTCTTAAAATAACTCCTGCTTCCTCCCGGCGGGGCATCGGGCCGCCGGGCTGCAGGCGGAGAGAGCCCGGCTCTGCAGGAGGCTGAGCACCCGCCGCGGCCGCTCGACGTCACCATCCTGCCCGGGGCCGCAAGGAGGGCAGCGGCCGCGGGCTCGGGGAGGTCCCGGCCGCAGCGGCATCACCTCGGGGGACCCGGCGCCCAGTGGGCAGCCCGGACCGTCCACCGAGGCGTCCCCACCGGGATGGTGTCGCGCGCCCGCGGACTGAGGCTGCCCACCCTCGCGCGGGGAGTGGCCCGAGCGGACCGCGGCGCCTCCCGCCACGCCCCTGCGCGCTCGGGCGGACACCTGCGGCGCCGCTGGCCCCGGGCTCCGGGCCGGCCACCCGCGGACGGCGCCCAGACGCGATCGGCCCGGGGCGGGCGCCCGGAGGCCGCGGCCCGCAGCGCAGCCCGGTCCCCAGCCAGCCCGCTGGCCGGCTGCACCCGGCGCCGCCGCTGTCCCCGCGCGTCCACCCGGCGTCACCTCCCGGGGTCCAGCCCGGAACTCACCCGCTCGCCGTGAAAGTTTCGGGGCGGCAGCGCCGGAGCTCCACGGTGGTGCCTCGGGTTCAGAGCGGGGGGCGCGGCGGGGCCCGGCTGGGGAGGGGCGCGGGCCGGGGACGCGGGCTCCGGGCCGGGGTGGCGGCTGCCGGAGGCGCCAGGGCCGGGCAGCGAGTGGCAGCGCGGCCCCGCTCGGTGGGAGAGGAACTGGCTGTCGCTGGGCTCGGCCGAGAGGTCCCGGCCACTTCCTGGTGCTCGGATTTGCATACTGCGCCCGGAGGGCGGGGAAGTGACCGTTTTGGTTCCTGCCCAAGGTTTGGTGTTTGGTGTGGCAGTCGCGCAGGGCTGGGAAAGCAAGGAAACTTGGGGACTGCGGGCACCGTGGGAGACTCAGGCAGCCTAGGCTCCGACGTCCTCCCCTAAGGATGGACGAAGATGGGGAGAGGATTCAGAGGGTCCGCCACACCTCTCGCCTTTCCTGTCCTTCTGACCTAACCGCGCAAGGCGTTAGAGACGGGATGGATGCTCTTAAAACCGCTCACCCCGCCCCGACATCTGGAGTCCTCCAGAGTAGATGGACTGGACTGGTGCTCAGGGTCTCACTTCGTTCTTAGCATTACAGGGTAACTAACTTCCTTGGGATGTACATGGCCAAGTTGAGGACATCGGTTTGGGGGTGAGTGGCTGTGAAGTGGAATAACCCAGCAAGTACTGTTTCTCAAAGTCACATTTTCCGTCCAGGAAAATGAAGGTCAGGGTGGCCAACCTGAAAGAAATGCTTTCTGCTGAAGCTTACAGTGCTTACCATGCAGGAATGGCAGTGGTTATTCTTTCTTACTATCTCAGTTTCCCTGCTTGGTGCTTAGCAAGTACCCAATCAGTATAGCTGCGTTAAAGACAGACTGCGTGTTCCCTTTATGTTTCTGCTCAATAGGTGCCACTCACTCATCCAAGAAATAGGACTAACCTCAGTCACTGTGGACACCCACTTCTAAGTGGTCACCTGTTTGCCGGAATCCAAACACTGTGCTACCTTGTAGAATTTACAAGGAAGTAAGTAGGATACCAAAGTTTGTGTGGAGGTTTCAGTCCATCGTCGGCTGGTTTCAAGGCAGAGTGGCCTCGCACAGGGGCACAGTGGAGGAGAAACAGTTGGCGGTGCAGCAGGCAGCCGAGAAGCACAGTAGCAGGCAGCTTCTTCCATCCCTTACATTCCATCCAGCTACCCGCCTTTTGGGTGGTGCCGTCCACACCCAGCTTGGGGCACCCATAATCCCAGCATCACATCCCTAATCCGAGACCCAGCATCACACACCCTAGTCCAAGAATCACACACACTAATCCAGCCGCCTTCGAAAGGCCCCACCTGTGACTGCATGAGGCTTTGGGGGGACATCTAGACACGAGTCATAACCAAATCTAATACAGTGGTTATTTTGTTTCTAATCAGAGAGTACTGAAGTTTCTAAACTACAGTCATGGGCTGCAGAAAGATAGTTCCATATTTCAGTCTACCACAGATCACGTGCATGGAGGTGCTCCCATAAGATTCTTCATTTCAATAGAAGATACCATCTGTTTCAATATGCATTTCTTAATGCCAGGGTTTTATCATTTTTATATATTTTTATTTAGCTTTTATTTATATATTTTTTATTTAGCTTATTGGTATAATTTACATATACATACTGATGACATTTGTTGTATGGAATTTGTACCTCTATATGATATATCTGGATTCCTCTTTTTTCCCAAACCCCTCCGCTCTCTTCAACCCATCTTCCCCTTCTTATTCACAAAGCTTTGTTTCCATTTTATGATTCTTTTATTATTTTTTTTTCTTTTCCCCCTTCCTCCTTCCTAGTTCCCATTTCCTTTTGCACAATTTCTTATTTCATGATTTCTTTTATACATTTTGGTTCTTATTTACACTTTCAGTGTCTCACAACACAGAGTCAGTGTGATATTTACACAAGTGTATCCAATTTATTTTACTTAAGAATATGGTCTCAAGGTGCATGCATTTACCTAGAAATGTCTCAAGTTTATCTGTATTTATGGCAGAGTAGTACTCCAGTGTACTAAAAAACCCCACATCTCTTTTATCTGTTTATCAATTGATGGGCATTTGGGTTGTTTCCAAGATTTAGCTGTTACAAACTGTGCCATTATAAACATAGGTGTACATATATCAGCATGGTATGATGCTTTTACTTCTTTTGGGAAGATACCCAAGAAGACCAGCTGGGTCAAATGGGACTCTAGTCCTAGCTTTTTGGGGAATTTGTGCATTGGTTTTGACAGTGGTTGCATAGGTCTACACTCCCACCAATGGTGAGGAAGAGTTCCTTTTTCTCCACAGCCCTTCCAGCTTGTGTTATTGACTGACTTCTTGATGACAGCTAAGCTTTCTGGAGTGAAATGGAATCTCAGCAGTGTTTTAATTTGCATCTCTCAAATGACCAGTGATGTTCGGTCATATATTTGCATATATTTATTTGCCATTTGTACTTTTTATCTGAGAAGCATGTATTCATCTCAGATGCCCATTTTTGGATTTGGTCTTTAAATTTGGGGGATCTGACTTTTTTCAATTCTTTATGTGTTCTGGATATTAGTCCTTTGAGGAACAACTGGCTAAAATTTTTTCCCACTCTCTGCATTGTCCTTTAATTCCATTGTGATTTCTTTTCCTGTATAAAAGCTTTTTAATAAAATGCAACTCTAGTTGTTGATTCTTTGTAGTATTTCACATGCAATGGGATTTTGTCAGAATTTTGAAAACAAAACAAAGAGTCTATTAATACTGTTTATAATAACAGATCATTAACAAATTATATATTCTAATCATTAGTACCAAGTGATTGTTTTGGAATATTTTATATCTCCATAATCACTGATATCCAGTCTCTCCTGCACACAAGACAAGTACATTCCTAGCTTTTTTTTGGTCTTTTTCGTTTGTATTGGTACCAGGGATCGAACTCATGACTGCCTGCTTGCAAGGCAGGCGCTTATGCCGCTGAGCTAAATCCCCAGACCCCAGCTTCGCTGCTCTTAACTCCTAGCAGAGGCTCCCCCTGTATTCTCACTCATCAGCAGCCACTGTCCTCCCACTGCTCAGCAGCATTCATGTAACCTGAACACGTCTGTCCTCTGACTCCCTGGGCTTGTCTGTTCTCCTTCAAATCCCACGGAAACTCCATTTCCCAAGAAAGCTTTAAGACCTTTACCATTAGTCACAGCACATTGCAAGGTGTGCAATTCTTCTAAACCAAACCTGAAACAGCACTCGGCCATTATCCTCATTTCTGTTCTTAGCTTTCCTTTCTCTAACTATCAATGCGTAGACAGGGGCTGTTTTGGAAGACGCGACTTACATTGTTTTTCCAATATACATCCCATTCTGCAAGGTACTTTAAAATACTTCATTGGTATTCACTGATTGGTCAGTTGAATTGTCTCAATAATATTTTCTAAAAAGTACACAATGGAATGATCAGCGGCAGGTTGAAAGTCAATAAAGGCTGCCTCGAAAGGGTCGGCAGGCCTTTGAAGAAAGGAAAGAATAGGACTGGCCTGTGGAGGGGAGCGTACAGAGCTGTGGATGGCATTTCCTTATGTTTGCAGGTGCACATTGTGAACTCACCCACCTGCTGTCACTCACACTCAGGGTGCTTTGCCAGGCAGTTACAGGTACATACATCGCAGAGCAGGGAAACTTGTCTTCCAACACACATTCTCATTGAGCTGATTCTCTGCTTTCTCTCTTCTACTTTTATAAATAACGTGTGGCTAATGCTACATTTTCCACATTTTATGCTTTTTATCCATGTTTTCACCATTTAAAATGGCCCCTACTCAGAGCACTGACATTCTATCTAGGGTTTCTCGGCACAAAAGCTAGAGTGTGCTTCGTGGAGAAAACACACGTTTTTCAATATGCTTCACTCCAGCACAGGTCACAGTGCTGCTGGCTGAGAACTCAATGCTAGTGAATAAACAGTATATTAAAGACGTGTCCTTAAACAGAAACACATAACACAGCTGATTGGTCGATGAAAATGTTGTAGCCAAAAACTCGCGAACCCAGCCTGTGGTCCTCTCTAGGAACAAAGGCTTCGTATTCACTAATTTAGTGTTCACACTGACTTTATAGAATGTAACCACCACACAGCAAAAATCAGCTACATGAGAATATCTCATTGTCCATTGGTAGGAAAACAAACAACTTCTCTTTTAAGACTGTTATCATCGGATGCCTCTTTGCGGTACACTGGTTGGGCATTCTCATGGCACCCTTTCAGAGCCTCTTACCTGGGGCTCACCTCAGTGCCATTGGTAGACTGTCTGTGGCTCTTCTTCTGCTCTTCTGCAAAGGAGGTCTAGACTTCTCCCTCTGGAGTTCCAGACTCCTGAGCCCAGCACAGGGACTCCTACACAGCCCCCTGATTGGCTTTTTGGTAAGGAGCCAGGTGGACACTAAGACTTTCCCTCTGGTGCTTGCAAACATAGACACAGACCCCAGGGGCCTGAACAGCAAATACTGTGGAGAGGTGGCACTCAATCCTGGAGGAAAGTTAGGGTCACCTGAGCAGCTAGACCATCCCCCTGGCCGGGATCTCCACAGACCACTTAAAGTCTCAGCAGAGGGATCCTTAGCACAGACACCTTCAAGTCACTGGACAGTTTCAGTGAGAGACCCTGGGAGAGAGATGCATGCAAACGTTCTGGGAGCATATGCGCCTATTTGCCAAACAGTTTCTATTTATTACTAGCCTTCCCTTCAAAATGCAGTATAGCTCTTTCCCTCTTTGATCTGAGGCGTATGTCAGTACTACATCAAAACATTGTGGAATGTGGGGAAAGCCTTAAAATGAAGTAAATTTGTCTTTAACATTTTAATTTCAAATTTTTTAAAAACTGCTCAAATGTTTTAATATACTCCTTTCAGGTCTGCAGGCACACCTCAAACCCTTAAATAAAGCCAAGGGCCAAGCCCACCACCCCAAAGTCCAGTTTAGCACTCTGCAGTACAGTGGCCACAGCAGGCCTGGCTGGCTGACCGAAAGGCTCTGACTTGGGGAGGGCGCTGGTCCAGGTATTTAGAGGCTTCCAAGACTAAGCTACTGCCTGCCACTGTCTGACTGCCCTGTCCCTGCAGCTGCTTGGCTTCCAGAAAACATGTCCTGAGGTGAGGGAGGCAGCTCAGGAAGACATTATCAATTCAGGACAGGCCTGAAGCCTCTCAGAGCAGGCACAGGCCAAAAAGAACCCTGGCCCCAGGCTGGGCTATGTCCAGGTGCTGCTGCAGGCCTGAGAGAAAAGCATGTGAGTGTGTACATTATTCGAGGTGCTTCTCCAGGACAGCCAAGTCCTGAGACAGACTCTCGAGGGAGGTTCTCCTGCCTCTGCCTCCTACTCAAGACCCTGGAAAAGGTCAAGGAGGGCTTTCCTGAGCCAGGGGCAGACCTCATCACATGGGTGTCGAACCATCCTACAGCCCTACCAATAGGAATCCAGGGCTAGAGAGGGGTATAGCACCTGCCCAGGTCACCAGCAAGGCAACAGCAGCCAGATCTTCTGTGGGGAAGGAGAAAAAAGGGTTCTTGGCAGTCAAAGTTTGTAAGTTAGCAGCTCAAGGCTCGCAGTCCAGCTGGTGGCCTGTGGAAGAGCCTGGCTGAGGACACTCCAAAGGGATGGACAACAGGAGGGGTACAGGGACCTATAACCATCCCAGTGTCACTCACAACAGTGCTACAGAGGATGGCATTGGTCGTCCAGCAGTGATGGGTAGGTTTGGAGTGGGCAGTGCAGGTCATTGAGTTAAGTGGTTTCCAGCTGGGTATGGAAGACACACCCAGGGTAGGGCCTGATGGGCTGGTGCTGACAGTGAGGGAGAGGGCAGGGGCCCCCCACCCCTCCGACCCTTTGCAGGTGCCTCTGGGCCAGAGCTTCCTAGTGGCTTCCTCCTGGGCTTCCTGATCCTGCAGACCGGTGATTGCTGAGCCAGGGCTGGGGCCCCTGGCTCATCTCTGCCACATTGGACTGTGAGAGAGACATGGTTCCAGCCTCAGTGGCAAGGTCACCTGACATTCGTCACATGGCTGTGGTGGCTTACTGGGTCTGCCCACACTTACACAGCTGGTGGCAGACGTAGTCGGGACTCTGTAGATCCAGCAGGGCAGGACAGATTTTGGGCAGCTTGAAGCAAAGCCAGCAGCTTTGGCACCCATGAGGCATGGTCACACAGGGGATGCTTCCGAAGTTCTTGCTCCTCTGACACGTGGTGGGACATGGCTGTCCTTGGCGCTCCTGCAGCAGCAATCTGTGGAGGGGTTGGGCATCTGGAGAAGAGTCGCTCCCTCAACAGGTGTGTGGGCATGAAAGTGGCACTGGCCCTCACCACGTGGGTATAGAAACTGCTGCATGCCTATGAAGCCCTGCAGCTCGCACAGCAGCCTGCCCAGCAGGCTTTCCCCAGCCTGGTAGTCTTGCCATGTAGCCTGACTCCACAAACCAGCCATCTCAAACCACTCCCGCAGCTCCTCTGGCAGGGAGGGTCCCCTGCATCACTCTGGTCCTTGGCCCAGACTCCACAGTACCTGGCGTCTGGCTGCCTCTGTGACCATCCTTTTTAAGCCTGGTAAACTCAGCACTGCTCCTCGTGAATGGCCCATCTGCAGCTGCAGAGGGCTTGGAATGCACTGCAGGACTAGGACCTTGATGGGGGCAGCCTCTTCGGGGACTTCTTCACACTCAAGTCCAGGGTCAGCTTTTCGTTGAGTGAGCAGTGCAGTTCCCAGAACCCCTCTGGGGCAGGCAGGGCCCCACCCCCAGTCTGCAGTCCTTGTCTGGGCTCTAAGTTGCCCCCAGGGCCAAGGCTGGCTCAGCTGTGGCTGCAGGGTGTTCACACCTGTTGGGAGCCGCGTCTGTGATAGCTCGCCTTGCGCGGCGGACGTGCGGCCTGTGGTAAAGAGCAAAGCCTGAGGTAGATTACCCCTCCCATCGAATATGTTAGTTTCCTGCTTACCGCGTAAACAACCCGCTCAACAATATAGTCTGCCTGGCAACTGATGATGTTAGCCAATCAGCTTGCCTTGCTTACTTTAACATGATTGGACACTGTACCCGTATATATACCGGTGCCACCCCTGGGCGGAAGAAGAAGCCAGGTAGAAGCCCAGAAGTAAAAGCACAAAAGGAGCCGCGGAGAGCGGACCGGTAGAGGCTTTGGGGCAGACTGAAGCACAAAAGGAGCCGCGGGGAGCGGACCAGAGGAGGCTTCAGCTGGGAGAACCCAGGGCAGGCTGTACGGAGAAGAAAAATAAAAAGAAAAGGTTGTCCACTACCAGACTTTGTCGTGTGTCCTTCCTGCCGGCCGGGAGCGGACATCGACATTTGGTGGCCCGTACGGGGAACTGATCACCCCCGAGACGTGGAAGTGGACAACGCTCCAGTACAGAGCTGCGAGACAGGTGAGTTGGGGATAAGCCTGGGCTCTGGGTGGCGCGCACCTACAGGGCTTTTAGACTCCCCTCAGGCTCACGCGTAAGTGGCAGATTCCTTGGGCCTCACGCGGTGAGTAACATATTAAAAGATGGGAAACATGTTAGGTAGCAACACTAAGAGCGAGGGTGGTTGTGGAGAAAGCTCTCAAGAGCTTACAAAAGTACGCAGGGTATCTGAGCAGGCCCAGTCAGGGAGCTCCCGAGAGGGGTCCGTCAAGGGGAACAAGGATGCTAAGGAGGGGGACGGGGCTCTAGCCTCGGAGTCGTCTGACTCCGAGGACGAGGGAAAGTTAAATGGCAAGGAGGCCAAAGAGACCAGCTGTCAGGAGCCTAAATCGCTCAATAAGGAGTCGCAGGGTTCTTTTCCAGTGTTGCCCCGCGAATTGCGCTCTGCTCAACCTGGTCTGCGGAGGAGTAGAGAGCTCCTGAGCGCTCCCCGGCGCGAGAGGGAGGCAAAGCCTTCCGCCCCACCTTGGGGGCCGTTTCCGGAGGCGATTCCTCGCCACGAGGCGGCCGCCTGGGAGCTCTCTCCCCTTTCGCCAGAACAGGAAGTGATGCACGGGCCCCCATTTTCCGCCCAATCACGGCCGCTGTCTTATGCTCCGCCGCCGGCGGGTCGGTATTTTTACAGGCGGCTTTGGCAGGGGGGACGCTTGTCTCATGAGGTACATCCACCTGGGATAGATAGTGGCCCCTACGGGATATTTCCTGTACAAGTAGCTATGGGCCAGGGACGCAATGTATGGGAGCCTTTTGAGATAAAGCAGATTAGAGAACTTAAAAATGCAGTTACAACCTTTGGGCCGACTGCGCCTTACATCATTGCCATGCTGGAGAATCTGTCTTCTGGGCCCCTCACCCCCGCGGACTGGATTCAGCTGGCAAAGGCGTGTCTGCCCTCGGGTAGTTACCTGGATTGGCGAGCCTGGTACACAGAGTTCTCTGCCGAGCAGGCTGAGAAAAACGCCGGTCGAGGAAATGGGAGCTGGGGATTTAGCTTAGCGGCATAAGCGCCTGCCTTGTAAGCAGGCAATCGCCAGTTCGATCCCTGGTACCAATAAAAAAAAAAAAAAAAAAAAAAAAAAAAAAACGAAAAAGATAAAAATAAAAAATAAAAAATAAAAAACAAAAAGGGGGAGTAAGCCAAGGCCTGCCTCCAAAGGCGCGGTTATCTATGGCATGACAATGGATGGGCCCGGATCCAGTGGTCAGCTGGAACCGAGGCGCGGTTTGTGTTTTCCCACAGGAACCGGGACGAGAACCACTGTGGATACCGGAGAGACTGACACGGGCAACAAAGCCCTCGACTAAAGATCAGACCTGCCCTACTGGAGATCCATCACAGACCAACCAATAAGATAAATAGAAATAGCGGTAGCCCAAAATGGACAAGAAGATCCTCAGGCATATGCATGGCTTGCTCAATTGGCCCACGACCGAGTCTAGATATGGCGGGCATCCCTCATTCTCCTCCATAAGGTGACAATACACAGCAGTGTAGGAGAGTCAATGACGGGTAAGAGCGTACTCCCCCGGTGCGACTCAACCTAAGCCAGGCCCTACCCCATCCTGCACGTAAGCCGCTGGACTGTTAGATGCTGCCCAGGTCTAAATTTCTCTCCGAGGGGATTTCTTTACGGAGAGGAAATGAGTGCAAGCTTGTGTGCATCCAGGTTCCGTCCAGTTTGTGCCTGGCCCTAGAAAAAGGACGAGGGCCTCAGGGCCTTGGCAGACCATGGCATGGCCAACCAGGGTCTAAGCCAAGGACCTACGGTGGACCTACACATAGGGCATAAGCCTCTACACCCAGTCCAGGAAGGGCTACGATGCGCACATTCATAAAAAATAAAATAGGGGGAGATGTTGGGAGCCGCGTCTGTGATAGCTCGCCTTGCGTGGCGGACGTGCGGCCTGTGGTAAAGAGCAAAGCCTGAGGTAGATTACCCCTCCCATCGAATATGTTAGTTTCCTGCTTACCGCGTAAACAACCCGCTCAACAATATAGTCTGCCTGGCAACTGATGATGTTAGCCAATCAGCTTGCCTTGCTTACTTTAACATGATTGGACACTGTACCCGTATATATACCGGTGCCACCCCTGGGCGGAAGAAGAAGCCAGGTAGAAGCCCAGAAGTAAAAGCACAAAAGGAGCCGCGGAGAGCGGACCGGTAGAGGCTTTGGGGCAGACTGAAGCACAAAAGGAGCCGCGGGGAGCGGACCAGAGGAGGCTTCAGCTGGGAGAACCCAGGGCAGGCTGTACGGAGAAGAAAAATAAAAAGAAAAGGTTGTCCACTACCAGACTTTGTCGTGTGTCCTTCCTGCCGGCCGGGAGCGGACATCGACACACACCCTTGCAGTCACGACAGGCCAGGTTAAAGAGGCTGACCAGTGCTGGCAGAGAGCTGGGCATCTCATGCTCCTGTGGAAAGGACTGATGCTCTTGGGCATACCAAGCCCAGGGCAGGGGAGGTATGGGCAACTGGGCTGTCTTGAATGACAAAGAGCATGCCTGGGGTGCTCATTGCATAACAGTGAGGTTGCCTTTTCCTGGTTGCTGCCGGGCTGGTCCCTGGCTGGCTAGGCCTTCCCAGAAGTCCTGGCAGTCACCAGCTGGGAGCCACCCAAGGCACTGCGCCTGGCACCTTTTACTTCAATTTCAACCTCGCCTGAGTTCCTCTATTGCCAGAGCCTCAGGCAAGCCCGAGGCATTCGCGTCCCTACTTGACATGCTGTGTCTTTTATTTTTTTTAACTTACATCACACCCACAACACCTCACTCTAACTTCTAATTACAGATTTGCTAAACCTGGGCAACGTCTGCAAAGCCACTTTTCCACACACTACACACTCTTCCCATCCACACACAATTCAGCAGAATGTTTTTGTGTTTAGCAATTTACCATGACTGTCTCCAGCTAGTCAACTTTATTTCACATAGATGTAGCTCACTCATACTTTTCTTTTCTTTTTTTTTTTTTAATATTTTTTTTTAAATTTTATTTAAGGAGAAAAGAAAAAAAAAGCAGAGAAAGGGTACAAGTTATACAGATTTGCAGAAAAAAAATGAACAGTAGGAAATTACTAGTTAATGGATTACATATTGTCATCTTAGAAATAATTGTTCAAGTCACAAAATTAAAGCTTGTAAAGTGGACATTCCATCTATGATACTGCAAACAGTTCTGTTCAATGATCCAATAAAACTCTGTGATATTATATTCTATCTTATACACATAAATATACATGCAGTTATATAGTTTAGAGCACTTTCTTTTCCTCTCTTTTGTACAATGACTATTACACATTTTGGGTTTCATTGCTCTCACGGTTCTTATTACTTTTTTGGAAGAGAGTAAAACCAAATGTGACATAACAGAACAGAATCGGTCAAGTCAAAAGGGTGGACATAATAGATAATGTGAAAACATAATACAAGGTGATAATCAATGGTTACCATAATGTCTCCCGCTATCTCTAATAGAATTGCCTATACCATTAGTTATAATACAATTGAACAAAACAGTAAAGAACAAAACCGACAAAACCAAACCATTGGAGACATTGTAGGTCTTCAAAAGTAGATAAAAGTCAACGAGAATGGGCGTTATAATGAATCTCACTATCTTCACAGCTGATGCCTAAATTTTCGAACCTGATACTATCCAGCAAAACAGAATAGGGGAACATCAGTTAAAAACCAGATGGTGAGAGTAATACAGGGCTTTAAATCGAGGTAATGGAAAGTCAAAGTGGGTTACTATAATATAGTAACCTGTTATATTTTTTC